AAGGGCCACCCAAGATTAGCAAAGTGAGTGTATGCTGACAAACTGGTCAAGATAACCAGGCAAATGTAAAGCTTCTATGTTTTTTCCCTTAATAACTTGAAGAAAGTTAAGCTCACTTGTTGTTATCGGCTAATCTTCTTAGTAAAAAAACTAATGAAGCTGCCATCTTTAAGCCAACGGTAGAAACAATAATCCTACAGATGAGAAATGGTGCCTGGCTCAGCTGAGACCAAGCGCAGGGCAGAGGGAGGAGAGGGTGGAAGTGAGGTGGGGGGGTTGGTTATGGGGTAGGCAGAGGGGCACGACTCTGAGGCTGATTGATGCGAGCAGACAAGGAGAGGGCAACTTACGAGTCGTTCAATCCCTGAGCATCCATGGGATCCATTCCGAGGCCTGAAGGAAGAGATGTATATCAAATCAATATAAACATCAGGTTGTAACTGGCACCAATAACCAGTGGAATACCTTTAGATTAAGAACTGTGGCTGGGGAATTTGCATATCAACAGCAAATATGAATTTTATTTTCCAATGTAAAGCAGTTACATTTGTAAAATGTAGTGAATTTGTGCAATTGAACAGAACAAAGCTTATTTTTTTTACAAGTGATTAATCTATTTATCACAATCGGAATTACCTGAAGTTAATAATAACTAAATAACTAAAATCAATTGTTTTGTCCGAATAACATCACAAAATGTAAAGATATTGTGTGAACTATCACATCTTCAAAACTAAGAATTGGGGAAACATGGTAATGTTTGGCCTTTTTCTTTACTAAAATCCACCTTTTAGTAATAATCCCATGGCAACATCTTAAGGACATAACCATTAAGTGGAGCAACTGGCTCAGGCATCCATTCTAACAGCAGCAATTAACACAGACAATAGGTTTTTATGGGACTCACCAGCATCAGATGAGACGTCAGAGGCAAAGGAGGGAATCTTTTCAAGGGTTGCATGCTTTCCCCTTTTCGGGGTATCACATAAACTGCAAATGGGAAAAGATGAGAATTACAAATAATAATGTAAACAGTAAACCAGACAATGCATGCTAGGAAGGTTTTGTCAATGGCTTTCTAAAACACAGAAGCCGAACATAGTGTAGGCAAGTAGACGAAATAACACCTAATGCTTTAATAATAGTAATAATAATAATAATAATAATAATACCTTCGAAGTCCAGCCCAATTGTTCATGTCCAGAGCCAAATTGGTAACAGGCGACAGCACAGCAGCGGGTCCAGGGGAGAACAGGTCCCTGCAGTGCGCGTTCTTTGTGCTCATCTCGGGCGAGGAAAGCCCGGGGATCGGGTCGGGCCTTCTTTTCAAAACAGTGTTAACAGGACTGGTGCAGCCAAATAGATCCACAGACTCCATCTTTAGCTGTCCTATGTGTAATGATCCTGTAGACGGTATTGCTTTGCGGTAGATTACGTTTGAATTTCGAGTCGAAAAGTGACGAATTAGCAAGACGGTCCAAACTTCAAGCTAACCTGGAAGCTAACAAGTTAGGTAGCAATAATTTAGGAAAACATTTTTTCGAAACATACGATCCGATGGTTCTGATTGAAGTGAAGCGTTGATTTGGTCTTGCTAAAGTACTACAGCTGCATAGTTGTTGTTTGCGTCAGAGAGGTGCATCATGGCGTACTCCCTCTCTGACAGCCCCTGGTTTGTGAGAAAAAAAAGTCTGAAGCTACTCGTATTTATGTTCAAAATAGAAGCTCAGGAGCGGCAATCTTTCAGCCAATCAGCGCTGTTGTTACATCCAGCTGACCAATCAGTACACAGAACGGGTCTCCGCTGTTGTCCTACCACCGATGGGGACGAAGAAGGAGGATGTGACACAATCGCTTTACATTTTCCTTATTTTTTCTCAGATATCTTTTGTTCTCGCGTTGCTGACTGTGGTTTCTAATTATGCACCAATGCTTTCAAAAAGGTATATTTTTAAAGATAAATATACCTGCTTTTAGTTTTTGTATTTGAAATTGTTAGAGTAGGATTGAATGGGATGCTGATAGAATTATTTATTTTTAAAGAGGAAAAACAAAAATATGAATTACAAAATGGCTGCCTTGCATATCTGTATGTCCACAAACTAAAACATAATGTAAATATATTTTTGTTTCTGTTTAAAAACTGAAGAATGTGTGATCTCATCTTTAAAGATTTCACCAAATAAATTACAATAAATTAACTTACTAATCACCCATAATAATAATAATAATAATAATAATAATTCATTACATTTATAAGAGTGCTTTTCAAAGTGCTCAAAGCGCTTTACATTACATATTATTACACATATTGGACATGTAACTGTGAATACTGTGGACAAACCCACAGGAGCAAATTGGGGTGAATTGTCTTGCCCACAACGGCCTGACCCATGCAAGTCAAATCAAATATTTTTCCATAAAAGATTAAATAGCAGCTGGATTTAGATATCAGACTATAGATAGATTTGAATACATACTTTTATCTTTGCAACACTAGGTACAGGACATTGTGATTTGTGTGTTCACATACCGGTAATAGCAGCGGAGCTCATAAACCTCCCACAGAAAGTGACTCAGACAGTATTTCACCAATGTAACATACTTCCTTTTTGCCCCACCAGCACACACATTATTCTCTTTTCTAAAATCACGTAGGAGAAATGCGTGTTTGCTGGTGGGGTTACATTGTTAGATTGGTGAAATACCAACTTGGCTGACTTTATGATTGGAAAGCTGTGAGAAACAGTATGGGCATACAGTAAGGAGAAGCTGCATCAATCTCTATTTTTTGTGTTTAATCAAAGAAGCAAATACCCCACACAGCTTCTTCTAGTATTTTTCAATCTTTAGCATGTGGCTATGATTTTATGAAAAAGGAATCTTGTGAATTCGACGGGTTTCAAATCATTTATAATCTCTGTAATTGTGTAACAGATAATATATAAGTTATTTAATGTTTCTGAGGCCCTTCTTGTCGCCACACAGACGCGCATGATTGCTGGATAAGACCCTCATGTCATGCTGTGTGGCTCTTCAGGACTCCATTTTGAAAGCTTTCCTGAAGCAAGAGACCAATGTGTAATGACTGTAAAGTCAAACATAACATAACATCCTGTTGATAACTTGTTCAACCAGACCGCTGAGGCAATCCAACAAACAAAACCGGACAGATGTAACCAGTAAAGCATCTCATTCTGCCTCAGGTTTATGTGATGTTTGTGGTTCTTCAGCTTTTCTCTCTACTCTCAGTTTGATTTGGCTCCAATTCCCCCACCACAAGTCCAGGTTTCTCATAGCCCTGGTTGTATTTGCAATGCTGAATGTGCAGTTATGTGCCATTTCAAATCTGATTTTAGCACAACAACAGTGCTTTAGTATTCCAACGAGAAGCTCTTTCTGTATCATTTTAGCCAACCTGGTGTAAGCAGGGGGGAGTGCTGACCTCTGGCCCATGGAAGAACCACTGTTCACTGGAATGGTCTTTGTTGGGATAAAGTATCTGTGAGATTTGCATCACGGATGTAAATTAAGTTTAATGAACTTCCCTGCAGAGGTAAGAGCTGAGGCCTGTGACTCAAGGCTCCCCACCCTACATCTGAAAAGAAGAGACAAGCGGGGGGAGCGAAACAGTTACTCTGAATAAAACCTCCGCAACCCTCCCGACACCTTCTGTTCCCACCAAACCTGCACCGACTCCCCACTGCCAACAATTTCCTCTTCACACAACCTCTCACCAACAGACACACATAACAAGTCAAATCTGTTGATGTAGCAAATCTATCAGTGCTTCCATAAAATACATAACAAGTACGCAACAATATTTACTTTGGATTTCTCTTTCATGCATTTACAAAATGACCTTACTCCAGATCGTATCTCTTAATTCCCTCTCTTATTATTGTGCTTTCTGAATTGCCTGCTTTCTCTGTCAATAAGTGTGCTGACTCATTATTGTATTACTTATGAAGACATTCTGGGCACAGAACATAGTTCACAGCAGACCGGAAAAGGTTAGTACATTGTTCTATAACTATTTTCATAATCAAATTATGATTTCCTTAATTTTTCAAGCAGAAACAGTTAAACTAGTTTACTATTCTCTGATTCCAGCCTCTGAAATGAGAGGATGTTCTGCTCTTTCTTGTCATATATCATTTTAAGCTAAATCCTTTTGAGCATTGTCTGACTAAAATATACTTTTGAAGATGTTAGGTTTGGCTCTGTAAAGTTTAGACAACCAGAATAACTTATAAACAATAATCTAACATCTGCCAACAACATATGATCATATATTTATACTATAAAGACATCAATATTTCATTTTTTAAATATCAAAGTTTGTTAATACCATAATTGAGATAAAACTTCCTTTCTTCAAAATGATGGAGTTTTACTAACCAGCCCAAAAAACCTGCACACAGAAGGCAACATGTCACTTTTGTAAATGCTGCTTTAAAAGTGCTTCATGAATTTAGTAGTGTATTATTACTGAACCCATTTGTATCGGTATTTATCTCACAGTGTGACTCAGTTAAACATACAGTGTGTGTCTATCTGCAGGCAGGTAGTATGTTGGATTGTGGTAACCTGTAATTGGGAAACTCAAAATGCATTCTACCTCACCGACAGCCTCGAAACTCAACAGCCTGAGCTCTACTTACAGCATTGAGAAAAGGGTGTTGCTCGAAGGAAGGGAGGGCGTTACACCCACACACATACAAACACAAATTGCGGTCTGCATTTGATCAACTTTTGTTGCCAGACAACACAGCACAATTGACAGAAAACAGTATCAGGTGTAAAACCACCAGACTCAGGGACAGTTTCATTCCACAGGCCATAAGACTGTTATACACCTGAACTAAGAACATCCATAACATTCACCTGTTTGCAACTTACACATTATTTATCACTTGTATATAGACTCTTATGGCACTACTTCTATTCTATTTTATTGTATTTACTTGCACTATTTTATGTGTTATATTGTGTTGCACTGTTGAAGGAGCCTGTGACCTAAGATTTTCATGGACATAACTACACTGTAGCTATGTACGAATGACAATTAAAGCCTTGAATCTTGAATCTTGAAAACCCTCAAAAAAGAAGTTCAGGGTCCTGATGGGAGAACCTTCAAAAGCAGTTTTGAAGGTTCACTCACTGGAGCGTTTGCATTTTTCTTATCTGGAAATGTTGCAGCAGCAGCATTAACATTGACACTATTTCAAATAGACCATTAACACAGACTCATCAGACTGATGAGATCTACCGATGACATCACACTCGAGCTCATTAACATCGCACAAACAAAGCTTGCGAGAAAAATGCCTCAAAGCTTAATTCAACAGCAGTAATCATATGTTTCTCTCACAGCTATTTATGATCTGTTCTTCTGACAAAAGAGCATCTTCCTATAGTAACACCCATGTGAGCTCTGTTTTACACTAAATAAAAGCACAGACAAAACTCTTACTCAACGGCCAAAGTGTGGCCCATAACAGTGGCATTAGTTTAAGCCCGCTGACCCTTGTGAGTAAAGTACCATTCTATAAAGCACCTTCCAACCCAGATTAAAACCAGCCCTAATATTAAAACAAATAATATAATAACAAATTAAAGTCAATACTAAGAAGTGTCAAGATATAGTTACAGTACATGTGGTGGTAGTATATACCTGTCTTGTTATTCTATTTAAGCTTGTGTTTCTTCTTTACTCTTGGCTTTTTTGTGACTGTTTGAAAGGTATTTTCCATTAGATTATATTATGTATTTATTTTTAACTCTGTTATTATGTTTTTTTTCATATATACATTTGAATTGACTTGAAATGTGCCATACAAACAAACGTGCTATCCTTAACTTTTTCAGTTTGAACTACCAGATCACAAAGGTTGTTGTTAACTGTCTTGATTTCACTTAAAGAAAAAAAAAATATTGTTTTGCATTCCTGTATGTGGACACATTTTGAAAATTGGATATATAACGTGTTAACTGTTCAAACTTTGAGGTATTAGTAGGTATTTAATGTCTGTTTTTGTCTGTTGTCGCTGTGGTTTAGGTATTGTTTGCCTGCTGGCTGTAGCTTCACTTGAATTAAGAGAGTAGTATATTCTAATCCAACCTTTAAGGAGAATATCTACTACCAATCAATTCCTCTTGCTACAATTCTTTAAAAAAATACCTAAAAATACAGTCCCAGTGATTTCCTTGCTTTATCACAGGATTGATTGGTTTCCCACCGGCAGACTTCTTTGATTAGAGGTTTTCAAGATAAGCATGTGTAAACTGAGGCTTTGCAGATGTGTTGCCAAAAACTAAGGGGGGGACCAATGCAAAGTTTACATCACATAATGTAGCATAGTTTCTTCGATCGGGAATCTGACTTTCTTTTGTGTGTGTGTAAATTAAGAATTAGACTGATACAAAACATTTTTTTATTGGGTTGGTATAGTGAGGATTATTATGGATTGACAGGAAATACATTGCTATAGCTGTTGTGCAAAGGACAAACCTTTAAATCTTGAAATTAGATTTAAATTTGAGACAATGACGATGTATGATCTGTTACTACACATAATTCTCTTCCTGTACACCGCCAACCTCACTTAACTAGCGTTGGAAAGTAACTCAAGTACAATTGTAAAGTACAGTACTTAAGTATTTCCATTTAATGCTACTTTATACGTCTTCTAATTTGCAATCAAATATTCAAATGTCTATCTGCATCATGAGCACTTTTGGTTTTGGTACTTCAAGTATATATTGATACTAATACTTTATTACTTTTACTAAACTAAAAAAAGAATACAGAACTTTGACTTAGAACGGAGTATTTCTTCACTTTGGTATTACGGTACTTATTAAACTCAAGCTAAAGACCTGAGCACTTCTCCCACCTCCCTACAGATGATAGTGTGTGGTGTGTTTGCATGGAGACGGTCAGTCATCCACTACCTCCCTGGTGCTCAGCCCTACCATTGTTCCCTCTCATTGTCCCCACTGGTATCAATGCAGACTCTCCCCTGGTTGAGGTCAGCACCGACCACCCCCTCGTCACCTCCAGACTCAGGTCGGGGAAGAAGGAGCTAACATCTGCCCGTAGAGAAGGCCCGAAGCCGACAGATGGACGGCAGCGCAGGGGGAGCGAGCTCCAGCCTCTGGCCAGGAATTCTGGAGGGAAAGGCAGACAAAAGATGAGGAGGGGACGAAGACGGGAGGCTGTGTGTGGGGGTCAAAGAGAGGAAAGAGGAGGAGGAGGTTTATAGAGTGCAGTGACACATCCTGACATGGCTTTTAAGTTGATTTTCATAAGATATGGTGATGATCTAGATCAAGGGTGTTCAAACTTTTTTCACGAGGGCCACATACAGAAAAATATAAGAAGGGCTGGGTCACTCAGTAGAGGTTTATTGTCTCATAAGTTATAAGTTAGCAAAATCAATCAAATGTATCAATTATGCTTGTTACTTGAAGATGCTTTTAGAAACACAACAGCCTATCACAGCTCTCCAGAGGGTTTACTTTATTTGTTGGCAGCTCATTCCTTAAAAGAAAAAGCCTCAGATTGCTTTTAATTAGAGGAAATATGAAGGGTATATTTCACGCTTGTCACGAAAAAAAATGAAACTTTAATGGACTGAATTTATTAAAAAAGTGGGCTTATTAAAACATGAATACTGTTTAATATATGTTAACATATTTAAGAAGTACAAGACAAGCACAAGTTAAATTTGTCGGCATAATTGCTGAGGGCCGATTCAAAATGGCACGCGGGCCGCATTTGGCCCCCGGGCCGCAGTTTGGACACCCCTGATCTAGAGGCATATCAAACTACAACAGCTGGGTTTCTATGACCCCAAGTATCAAAAACCGTCAAGAACCAAAATTCTTCTCTCTTTTTGTTACATCTGAACATATCTGAATAAATTATAATATATTAAGAGAAATTCCCATTTAGATGCATGCTCTTTGAGAAATGGGGCTTCTTTTATCAAATGAAACACTTCTAAAAAACATTCATTCATATCTGTCAAGTATATAAATCCATAATAAAAGGTTGCAGTCTTAAATACAATTGTCCAAATAATACCTTCACAGAAAAATGTAGCTAATCAATTTATGCATGAGTAATAATTGTCTAATGACGAAAAGACACATATTAAAATACATGAATAAATGAATTTAACATTGCTCCAATAGCAGACCACTCACACGGGCCATTTTTCTGAATTTGTGTGCATATGTTTACTCCACCTGCATGTACATTATCCTGATTATAATAACATACTTTAACTTTTTTTTAATGCAGTAATTGTACGGTATAGTATTGGCACTATTACAAATATGTTTCTTTTGGGTCAATTATGTAATATTTAGACTTCAGTGTAGCAGCCAAGAAGTTTAGCCTTACTAAGACAAATAATTTAAAAATCAGTGCATACAAATAAACTTCATTAATTGTCCTACATGGTTTTAGTCAAAAAAGTTCCTAGGCTCTCGGTGGCTTATCTGCTCCAGCTTTTTCACATTTTTGTCTAAGGATAATTATAATTGTGCAACATGACATCCCCTGTTTTAAATCGAACATGGTACAATGGTCTTGCAGGACGACCCCCAAACCCCCCACCCAAATGAATGTAGATTTTAAGCTCTGCAAACAACTCCATGGTTGTTTCATCTCTCTTCAGATGTACATGTGTAGGGGGATCTCCACCCTGCTCGCTCTGCCTCAAATTAACAAATGTGAGAAAGGGGCTGGTGAATTTGTGTTGAGCGGCCCGTTAAGTATCTCTCTGTTGATTCCTGCTGCAGCGAACTGAAAAACACTCACAGGCTCAGTGGGAGAATTTGTGTGTGAATACTCGGCAGTTTAGAGCCTTTAATTAGCTGATGTTAATCTATGCAGGCTGTGAGGGTCGGGGGCTGCAGCTCTGAGGGGCGATGCAACTTTACACAAGATCTCATTCAACACAGAGACACAGTTTTAGGATTTAAACCAAAATTGTCTTGATTTAAGCGATACATAACATATATAACTTTTGCTTTGCTGAGTTTTCAGTATTTCTCTTTTGAAATAAAAAGAAAATACATAAAAATAATAGAACAACTTCCCAGTAACACTTTATTTTAACACCCCTATATAATCTTGTATTTATAAGCAGCACACAAACACTTTTTAACACGTTATAATTTAATTAAAAGTGAAAAGGAGGACATTTTAAGTGTTAATGTATTTAATGCATTTGTCAATGATTATAAACGTTCTATAATATAAATTATTTATATTTAAACCACACTTTAACAAAGCTTATTTTTATGTAATGATACATGAGAAAGTGTGTTATAAGGTTATGAGAGACAGGTTTTAAAATGGATCTGTGTACGTTATATTTGTAAATCAGATCTAATCTAATCTAGTATCTACTTGCATATGTTGTGTAATTTTCACAAGTGGTGATTTTGAAAGTTTTGGAGTGGTTTTGAGGCTTATTGAGGATGCTGAGTCAATTCCTGACATTTGCAGTATCAAAAATGCCAGTTTTAAACAGAAAATGCCAATATTTGTACTCCATGGGCTGATCTTGATAACTTTTGGGTCGATTTGGAAGATTTAGGGGCTCTGGATCATATGGATTGGACAGATTGCCTATTTATTTGAAAAATAATTGTCCAAAGTCGAGATGCACATTTTCATGGTTCAATGGTTGCAACACTACTCATGGTAGTCAAAATCAGCCCAACAAGAGTAAGAAAATTGCCACTTTCTGGTTAAAACTGCCTTTTCTGATCCTGAAAATGTCAGAAACTGATTCAGCATCCTCAATAACCCCCAAAACCACTCCAAAATGTTCAAAATCGGCCCGGCCATTTTCTAACTATAGGGTATAATGCCATTCATTTTTAATGAACACAATTTAAGCCAATTGTGCAAATTACACAAAATATGCAAATTAGCATCCGGCAGTTTCTATGTGCTGGGGACCCTATCTATACATTCCTAACATAAAACTTGTTTACCCAACTTTTAAGGGTTCACTATGCTGGCATCTAGACTATAGTGTAATATTGAAGCGGTCTTAAGGCGACATATTTTTAAGTATAAATATATTACGGTTTGATAAATCCTTGAGACATGACTTCACTTACTTTAAAGTACAAAAAACATCCTGGTGAAACTGTTAATTGGTAAAAAAAAAAAAAGTGACAAAGAGATTAACTTTACTTGAATTTATCAAAATCAAGCTGTGGGAAAATGCCAGTTAGATAACTCTCAAGTTTCAATTTAAACCAAATTCAGAATTCATTTAATCAATAAAGTTAATTTGATTTATTATTATTAACTGTCTGAAGTTTAATGTCTGATAAACCGACCTTAAGTAGTTTCCTCTCTATTATACCTGCTTGCTTTTCTTATGTTAATGATCTCTGTGTCTGATAGAAAGGAGTTTTATGTGCAGAACTGAGACTTGCCCTTTGTTTGACTGCTAATAAGAGTGACGGGCACGCGTGTGTGGCGTGGTGTGTGTGTGTGTGTGTGTGTGTGTGTGTGTGTGTGTGTGTGTGTGTGTGTGTGTGTGTGTGTGTGTGTGTGAATGTCTGTGTGTTACATACATTCTGAATATTTCATGGAGAGCAGTTGGCAGCAGTTGGTCCATCTGTCGGAGGCTGTGCCGGGGCCTCATTTCAGAAAAGGATCAGACAGAGAGTTATTAATCATGCATGAGGTCAGGGATTAAAAGTTAATAAGTGCAACAAGTATCAAAGGTAACGGTATTAAATGCTCATGAACTCAACAATTAGCAGCCTGTGAATCTTATGTCCCAACTGACTGATTATTTATGGATAATTGGGTGGGATGTGGTTCTTCCCTGCAGGGGTCAAACATCATTCAGAGGACATACAGTATATACTTTACATATAATATGTAAAAGAGCCCCAGGGGAAAATGAAAGGTCAGAGAAGAACATTTCCTCTGGGCATTAAGACGACACTCCTTTATTGAGTTTGTTGCCGATCAGATATGACCTCATCAATATAATTCACATACACCCATATCATGAAATAATGCACCAACTCATTGTCTTTAGGCATCTTTAGATTAAACGTTCTAAAAGTCCTCAAACATGCTAAATATGTGTTGTTATTCTCATGTTTGTCTCTATAAAAATGGAAACTCTTTCCTGCCTTTACACATAAAATGTTTCTGTTCTTCAATATGATCTGGTAAATCTTAACCCATAACATATTTTGGCTATCTATTTATTTTAAAAATCTACATTGACTTTGTTATTGAAACTGCTTTTCATTTTCAT